GTTTACCACTTCCTGTCTCTTTCCTGAACCCAGAACTCTGACCTCATAGCAGGCCCATGTGGACAGGGCCAAGACAGGAGTAAACTGCTTATTCAGGATGAGTTAGAAAATGCCTTGTGCTTGGTTTGCCTGGAGCCCCCGCCCCGACGCCTTTCCAGCTCCGCGTCACTGTGGGATCCCCCCGGCTCCCTTGCGTCCCTCCCTATCGTGGGCTCCGAGGGACACATTGCCTCGGGCTCAGTGTGCGAGCCGTCTTCACTGCCTTTCTCTCTCCCTCCTGCCCGGCAGGGACGCTGAGAGGTGGGAGCCTTCTCTCCCGGAACCCTGCCTCTGCTGGGGCCAGCACCATGGGAGCCTCAAGAGACCCAGGGCGGGGAGACGGGAGGACTTGACCCCTGTGCTCAGCTCCCTGGGGCAGGGACGACAACAACAGGCTCGGGGTTTTGCTGTTTCTGTTGAAGTGCAAGCAAGTTCACGTTGAAGCCTGGTGCTCTGCCAGCCACTGGGAAGAGATGAGTGTGACACACTTCAGCTCTTATGGACTTAGCTCAGTACCTGTGTGACCTTAGGCAGGTTGCTTATGAGCCCTAGGTCGCTCTTCCGTAAAATGGGGATGGTAAAATATTTACTTATAGGAATGCCTTGGGGATTGCATGAGCTGATGCTTATGTAACTATTCGTCAAAGATGCCTGCCACATGACTACTCATAAATGGTGGCTAAAAAGCTGTTTTGTGTCCAACCAGTCCATCCTAAAGGAAACCAGTTCTAAATATTCATTAGAAGGATTGATGCTGAAGCTGAAACTCCAATCCTTTGGCCACCTGATGTGAAGAACTGACTCATTTGAAAAGACCCTGATGCTGGGAAAGATTGAAGGCAGGAGGAGAAGGGGTTGACAGAGGATGAGATGGTTGGATGGCATCACCGACTCAATGGACATGAGTTTGAGTAAACTCCGGCAGTTGGAGATGGACAGGGAGGCCTGGCGTGCTGCAGTCCATGGGGTCGCAAACAGTCAGAGATGACTGAGCGACTGAACTGAACTGAACTGATAAAGGAGGCTCACAAGGAAAGTGGTGAGAATGGTGTTGCTCTTCCGTCACTGAGTCGCGTCCGACTCTTTGTGACCCCGGAACTGCAGCATGCCAGGCGTCCCTGTCCTTCACCATCGCCCAGAGCTTGCTCAAACTCATGTCCTTCTAGTCAGTGATGCCATCCAACCATCTCGTACTCTGTCGTCCCCTTCCCCTGCCTTTCTACAGCGAATGGGAATATGTGTTAGGATTGTAACAAATGCAGGAACTGCCCTGCCAAGGGTGAGCTCCCCAACTTGAGATGCGCCCACACCAGACAGGGCAGAAATCCACTGGGGTGTGGATTCCCGCTGACAGTGGGCTGGCTGCTGGGGCCCCAGGGCCTGTCCTGAGGTTCTAGGGGCTCAGGGCCACACTGACTCCACAGCCTTGGGCGGTTCCTCCCAAGGACCCCGCGGTGCCTGCAGACTGTCTTACTGCCCACAGCAGCCCTTCCTCACAGGGAGCAGCAGCCTCCGCATCAGGGTTGTTTTTACCAAGCTCTTGCCTAAGTGGCCACACTGTCTGCTGTTAGCAGGTACCACAAGTCCTCAAGAGGCAGGCTTAGCTTGGCACCCCCACTCCAGCATACGTGCCAGCCGGGTAAGTGCAGAGCCTGCCAGGGAGTCATCCTGAAGGTCATGCATGGCCTCACTTCAGGGGTCTACCAAGTTGATGGCCCCACTGGCTGGCCAAGGATTCTGGGAAAAACTCAAGTTCCTCCTCTGCATTACTTTGACCTGCTCATGTAGGGGTTAACCCCCAGGGAAGTGAGCCTCAGCAGGAAATCCTAACTCACCGGCCCAGCCAAGCCCTCCGGGCCTTGCTTGCCTTCACACTTCTGGACTGCATCCAGCATGTGGTCCACTCCGCTCTTTTCCTCCCGGGCTCCTTTACGGGGCTTCCTGAGGGCTCGGGCCCTCCAGGCACCTGGACACCTTAGCTGTCGGGTTCAGGAGGAAATTTGATGAGCCATGGTGTCTGCCAGGTGACATAACTCCTCCATCCCTGTGGGAGGATGACTTGCCAGGGTCTGGGCCCCCCGCCTGGGCAGTGATCACAGACCTAAGGAGGCCTGAGTCTCTCCTGAGAAGGGATCTCTTGACCTCTGCTTTGTCTGATCTCCAGGCCTAACCCCAGATTTTAGGCTGCCTGAGTCAAAAGTGGGGCATGTGGGCTGTAGCGATGATCTCTTATACACACACATTTACAAACACTTTCCCCTCGTTTTCTCCTCATGATCCCCTAGGCAGGGACCACTGTCTTTAGGAGGTCAATTTCTTCAACTAAAATGGGAGCGATCACACTTCCCTAGCAGGGTTGTGTTAGGAATTAGAGGTGATGCTCACAAAGCATGGTCCTTACAGGGCGTCAGATGAGCCCCCATCCAGAGAGGTGATTTGTCTGGTTTGGCTGGGCCCAAACTCCCCCTCATGTCAGACCCATTTATGATGCTGGGGGAGAGGGGGAAGCTAGGATCCCCACACTGGGACAGCACCCATCACCCCGGGTGTGGGACCCCCAGAAACCCTGGCAGGGGCAGGGGCCAGAGTCCCCGGGGATAGAGGAAGGCACCCAGATCCCTGGTGTAGGGCAGGAGGCCACTGAGCTTGCACCCCCAGGGTGGGCGGCCTGGTGGGGAGGCCGGGGTGTCAGGCCGGCCTCAGCTGGGATGGTCCCAGGACACTCTCAGAGGGCACCCCATCCTACAATCAGGTCTTTGAGCTGTTTTGGACACACACGCACTTCACTGCTCAGCCGTTTCAGTTTCTTTTTGGCAGCGCCATGCAGCATGTGGGATCTTAGTTCCCCGACCAAGGATCAAACCCCCTCCCTGCGCGCTGGGAGTGTGGAGTCTTAGCTGCTGGACTGCCAGGGAAGGCCCTTAGCTGTCTCAGAGCAAAGCTGGAAGATCATGTAAGCTCCCCACCCTCCAGCTTCCTGGCTCCCTCCACAGTTCCGGCCCGGGAAGGAAGGGAGGAGCGAGGGTGTCACGGGCCCAGAGCATTACTCAAGGCGGAGGCAGGTGGGAAGGGGCCCTGGAAGCCCCTGGTCCCGCAGGGCCCTGCGAGGGCTTTGTCTGGTACCCCGAGAGCAGGAAGCGCCCCACCCTGGGCAACCCCTCCGCAGCCTCTGGGTGGGCCTGGCCCACTTCCCCTGCCGAGGGACACACCCGGGCTGTTGGGTTCTGCAGCCACTGGGGAGAGGTTAGCGAGGCAGGCTGCTTTTGGCCTCAGCCTCTGGGGTTTCCCTCTCTGGGGTAGGAGAGGACTTGGTTGGTGCGGTGGTAGTAGACTGGCAGAAGCACAGATAAAATAGTCCAGCCAGCCTCTGTGGATTCCGGCAAGCATCAGCTGAACCCCAGATGCTCTGGCAGTCCAAACTGGAGAGGAGGGTTGGGAAGCATTTGTTCCCAAGATCACACTCCATTCACATGGAGATGCTGTTCTTCCTTCAGAAGACACAAAAGGGTTCAATGACTCCCACTCCCATCCAGAAAGTGACACGTTATTCATTCATTCATTTCAACAGACCCTGCTGACGGCCAGCCCAGAGCTGGTCTCAGGGTTCCGGAGAGTAAGCCTTGCTGGTGTCCCAGAGTCCACAGTCCGGAGGACACGGGGTGACCAGGTGTTGGAGGCTGGGCCAGAGGAACTGTGTGGGGAGTGGGGAGCCCAAGGCAGACCAGCACCTCATCCTGTGGTCAGAACCCTGCCTCTTGGCCATGTTTGAGCTGAGCCTCAAAGAGGAAAGAAAAAAGGAAGCATAAAGGAGTGTGTGTGTGTGTGTGTGTGTGTGTGTGTGTGTGTGGTTGGGTGTGGGTGTGTTGGTGTGGGAGAGAGGGAGGGGTGGGAGGCAGACAATAATTTGGGCTTTTTTTTTTTGTTTTCTGCTGAAAAGTATACCAACATAAGGGCTTTCCAGGTGGCACTAGTGGTAAAGAACCTGCCTGCCAATGCAGGAGATGTAAGAGACATGAGTTCAATCTCAGATCTGGGAAGATCCCCTGGAGGAGGAAATGGCAACCCACTCCAGTATTCTTGCCTGGAGCATCCCATGGACAGAGGAGCCTGGTGGGCTGCAGTCCATGGGGTGGCAAAGAGTCGGACAACTTAGCAACTAAAACAACAACGAGCATGAGATTTCCACATACAGTATATTATTATTAATATGTATTATCATGTATGATATATGTTGTGTAATATTACATATATATATGGAGAGAGAGAGAACATGAGATATACTTATTACAAGGAGGTGACTTGCACAATTGTGGGGGCTGGTTAAGTGAGTTAGAAATTCACAGGACAGGTGGCAGGCTGGACCCTCTTGTGCATGACCCACCACTGCAGACACAGGTGGAATTTCTTCTTCTTCAGAGTGACCTCAGCTTTGCTATAAGGCCTTTCGCTGGTTGGAAGAGACCCACTCATATTACGGAGGGCAACCTCCTTTGCTTAAAGCCACCTGACTGTGGACATTAACCACATGGACAAAATCCCTTCCCAGCAACCCTCTAGGTTAGCATTGATGGACTAACTGGTGATGAGAGTCTGGCCAAGTTGACAGGGAAGACGAACCATCACACCCAGAGGCCGAGAGCTGCGGAGGATCTGGTGGTGAGAGGCAAGGGGCAGTCTCAGCCTCAGTGACCGCAGCTTTCAGGGGCCACCAGCCTCCCCCAGACCGTTGCCCCAGTTCAGTCCTCCCTGCTCCTGTCCCTCTCCCTTTAGGCCTTTGTGCGTGTATGTTGGGCGGTGATGGTGGGGTCTGGGGGGCAAGGCAGGCTCCCCCGTCTTCAGGGCTTCACACAGATGTGTGTCCTTTGCTCCTGCAGGCCCCATGGAACCCAGGGGCTGAGCTAATAGCTGGTGCTCGGAGCTGCCTCCTTGGGCAGCCCTGGCACCTTGGCCTTAGAGACAGCCTATCTGCTGCTCCCTAAGAATCTGCCTGCCCACAGGGGGAGAAGAGGAGCCCCAGTTCTCACGCCGAGGGCCCTGCTTCCACACCACAGAGGGCAAGAAGCAGCTGATGCAGGGCATAGCCCAAGTTCTTTCCCCATGTGCAACAAAGAAGCACAGCAAACAGACAATACATGCCAAGACATGCGGGCTCCACCTTCTAAGGTAAGGCTGAGCCGGAACTCTGAGTGCCTGTGAAAAAAGGGCTCCTGGCCACACATGTCACCTGCCTGGAGCCCACTCACCTCCGACCTCTGTGGTTGTCGCCTGCCAGAAGGAGGAGAGCCACGGTGGCCGGAGCCGGCTGGCACCCCGAGTGTGCACACCCCCTCCAGCCCACATTTGGTGGTGTCATATTGTAGCTTGAGATCAGCCTTCATGAGAATACTTACACCACAGAAACTGGAAAAGTGAAAAAAGTGTTAGTCACTCAGTTGTGTCCGACTCTTTGTGACCCCATGGACTGTAGCCCGCCAGGCTCTTGTGCCCATGGGATCCTCCAGGCAAGAATACCGGAGTGGGTTGTCATTTCCTTCTCCAGGGGATCTTCCCGACCCAGAGACTAAATTTGCATCTCCTGCATTGGCAGGTGGATTCTTTACCACTGAGCCACCCGGGAAGTCCTTGAGCTAGATTTAGGAGAAAATAAAAAGAGAATTCAAAAGTCAGAAATTGCTCTTTTTCGTGGCGCCTCGGAGGCTGTCGGCCACTTCAGAATGAAGCTGAACATCTCTTTCCCGGCCACTGGCTGCCAGAAGCTCATTGAAGTGGACGATGAACGAAAACTTCGTACCTTCTACGAGAAGCGTATGGCCACAGAAGTTGCTGCTGACGCTCTGGGTGAAGAATGGAAGGGTTATGTGGTCCGAATCAGTGGCGGGAACGATAAGCAAGGTTTCCCCATGAAGCAGGGTGTCTTGACCCATGGCCGAGTTCGCCTGCTACTGAGTAAGGGGCATTCCTGTTACAGACCAAGGAGGACTGGAGAGAGAAAGCGCAAATCTGTACGGGGTTGCATTGTGGATGCCAATCTGAGTGTTCTCAACTTGGTCATCGTGAAAAAAGGGGAGAAGGATATTCCTGGACTCACTGATACTACAGTGCCTTGTCGCCTGGGTCCCAAAAGAGCTAGCAGAATTCGCAAACTTTTCAATCTTTCTAAAGAAGATGATGTCCGCCAGTATGTTGTGCGAAAGCCCCTAAACAAAGAAGGTAAGAAACCTAGGACTAAAGCACCCAAGATTCAGCGTCTCGTGACTCCACGAGTTCTGCAACACAAACGCCGGCGTATTGCTCTGAAGAAACAGCGTACTAAGAAAAACAAAGAAGAGGCTGCAGAATATGCTAAACTTTTGGCCAAGAGAATGAAGGAGGCCAAAGAAAAACGGCAGGAACAGATTGCCAAGAGACGGAGGCTGTCCTCTCTGAGAGCTTCTACTTCTAAGTCTGAGTCCAGTCAAAAATGAGATGTTCCAAGAGTAACAAATAAATAAGATCAGACATAAAAAAAAAAAAAAAGTCAGAAATTGACTAGAACATCAGCAGTGATCACATTTGGGTAATGGGATTGATGGTTTTATGAGTGATTGAAAAAACTATTCTTAAAACTTTATTCATAAAAACAAGTAGTGGGCTGAACTTCCCTCTTAGGCCGTAACTTGCTGACCCCTGGTCAAATGGGCATTATTGTAGCTGAATCATGGTTACATAGGAGTTCACCACACTGTTCTGTCTACTTTTGCGTATGTTTAGTATCTTCCTCAATAAAATATTTAAATCAACAACAATTAACAAAAACGACTTTCCTTCCCAACTATCTTTAAGTTTAATTATATATTTTTTATCCAATTTTATGGAGGTGTAAGAGAGTTGAGACCAAATCCATCCCAAGTCCCCCACTCCTGCCCTGTGCTTCAGGGTCCAGGCGGGTGTGGGGCTGCAGTCACCAGGCTCAGGCTCTCTGGCCCCTGCTTACCTCTATGTGCCTCGGTTTCTCCATCCTCATCTCAGGCTGTGGCTGGGGCTGTGTTTTCACCTGGCCCTGCCGCCTGGTCGTGGCTCTCTGGCAAAGCCCCCCCATCCCTGAGGGGTCATGGGCCTGACGGGAAGAGAAGCGCTATCTCTGTCTGTCTCAGGGACAGGGTCTGGACAGTGAGGATTTGGGGAGCCCTGTGGCGCTGTGACCCTGGACGAGGAGCTGAGAGTTGGGCCTGGGAGTGTTCAGGGAACTCCAAGCAGATGACAGAGGCTCAAGCCGCCGGGAGGGTCCTGGGAGGAGGACCACCCACAGCGTGGGCAGCGTGAGAACATGGGTCCCTGAGCCCACCCTCAGGACTGACGTCCGAGAGAGGAGGACATCAGGGGCCGAAGGAGCCCAACGGTGGCGGGGCAGGTGCTGGATGGAGGGGGCACCGGGGTGGTCCAAATCCTGCAGGCCTGCAACCAGGCCCTCCCTGCTCACTCGTGCAGCTGTCAGGCCCAAGCCTGAGAGGGGAGGCAGGAGCTGGCCGCACGTGATTCCTGTTGGCTTCAGGGACCTGGAAGCATCTGGAGGCTGGAGCGGGAAGTGGGGGAAAGGTCAGAGCGTCGCGCCGGCGGTGGCCTCACTCCAGGGCCGGTGGGCGGAGGATGGCTGGCGGCCAGCTGGGCCAGACACCCACAGGCCGGCCCTAGGCTGGCTGTCAGCCACCCAGGGGAGGCCGCGCGACCTCGAGGAGGCCAGGGCTGCATCTGCTGTGCTGGCGGGCGGGCGGGCGGAGGCCCTGGGGCTGCTGCTGTCTCTGACCCAGGCTTCTACAGCCTCGGGGACTGGCTTCACAATGGGAGGGCTTTCTGGGGATGGAGAGTCAGGTGGATGGGGTGCGATAGGGGATCCATGGATGTGAGGCCCCTCAGAGCTAACCGTCCATCCCTCCATGCGAAGGGCAGAGGCTCTTGGAGGAGATATGGGACAGAAAGGAGAGGTGGGTCAGGGCTCAGTTTGAGAGTTTCCCCCCACTGGGTCTGTCCACCTCTGTTTCCCTGCTAATGGGCCTGTCCACCCCTTCCAGGCCACTGCGCGCAAGGAGAGGAAGCTGATTGCCCGAGGAACCAAGTTTTATTATCAAAAATGCTCAGTTTCAGCAACAAAATAAATTGTAAGACATGAGAAGAAATAGGAAAGTATGGCTCATACAGAGGTTAAAAAAAAAAAAATCCATTCGATAGAAACTGTCTCTGGGGAATCCCAGGCTTCCCAGGTGGCACTCGTGGTAAAGAACCCACCTGCCAATGCAGGAGATGAAGGAGACACAGTTAAGATCCCTAGTCAAGGAGATCCCCCAGAGGAGGAAATGGCAGCCCACTCCAGTATTGTTGCCTGGAGAATGCCATGAACAGAGGAGACTGGGGGGCTGCAGTCCACAGGGTCGCAAAGAGTCGGACACGATGCATATAATCAACTGAGGAATCCCAGATGTTGGTCTGGCTAGATGGAGACTTTCGCTCAGCTATTTCAAATACGATCACAGAACTTCAGGAAACCCTGTCTAAAGAGTAAAGGCGCGAGGATCATGTCTCCCCAGACAGCACCCTCCTGGAGTGGGCCGGCCCGGGACCACCTGCTCCTCCCACCGCCCCGCACCCTCTGTGGGCTGCCCAGAGATGGTTGCCATTGGAAATCAGAGCTGGGGGTCACTAGATACCCCTCACGGCCCCCACACAACCCAGAGGGAGTGGGAAGGGAAGCAGCTGGTTCAGACTGAAGGGGTGTCTGGCCCGCTTCTGCTGAGCTGGGCCCACCCAGGTTGGAGGATAGACTCCATGAGAATAGAAATGGAAAACGGGAGTCAGCTATGGGGAGCAGGGTGGAAACTGGAGAGGAGAATCACAGCCATCTTCAGACATCCGGCGCCTTGTGGCTCTGGGGAGGGCCGCGGGCTGGCCAGCTGTGTCCACTGCTGTGTGGTGGGGGCTGGCCGCTGAGCCTCTCTGAGCCTGTTGGTTCCTCTGTGAAGTGGATGAGGACGCCCGCCCTCCCATCTCACAGCATGGCCTGTGAGAATCAAAGGCAGAACCGACCCTAAGGGCAGTTCCTCCTCTCCCATGGCTTCTCCCCAGGGGAACCCTCCTGGAGGGGAGGGGCCTCTGTCCCTGGGGCACCTTCTCCCTTGGGACCCGCAGCCTCCAGCCGTCGTGGCCTGCAGGATGTTCGCCTACTCTTATCACAACCCACATGCACACAGCAGTGGAGAGTTCCATGTGGGCGCCTGGTAACTGGGCCATCCATGCTGGCTGCCAGGCTTGGGCTGGCCACTGCCCCTGTCTGGTCCAACAGGATGTGGCCATGGCAGGGTGAGGTTCGGGGACCATCTGGCTTGCTGAGAGGTCCGGAACTGCAACAGAGAGCTGACTTAGCCTCAAAATCCCAGGAGGCCGAGAGGTTTGTCCACCTGGACCACCTGAACTGCTGAGCCCAAGATCTGGGTGCACAGGCCACCCGCAGTGCTCACCTTGGGGACAGGGTCACTCCCGACACTGCCTGGGGTGGGGGCCCAGGACAGGCGGTCAGCACAGCCCCAGAGGAGCGTTCTTTGGCTTTGGCTGCAGGTCTGTGCATTTTTTTGGGTGAACAAAAGTTTTTTATTAGGATTTTATCTTTTAAGAGCAATTTTGGGTTTGTAGCAAAACTGAGAGGAAAGTACAGAGATTTTTCATATATTGGCCCCCGCCCTCCGGTTCACATATGCCCAGCCAACCCCCACCCCCATGATCAGTGGGACATTTGTCACCGTAGATGAGCCTCTATGCTACATCATTGTCCCCCCACGAGTCTATATGATGACTCACACTTGGTGATTCGCATTCCACAGGCTTGGACAGCCTATAATAGCATGTCAACTTTTATCCATCATTACTGTATCACACAGAATATTTTTGCTGTCCCAAGCATCCTCCGTGTTCTGGTTTTTCATCCATCCCCCAGAAACCCTGGGAACCACTGCTATTTTTACTGTCCCTATTGCTTTTTTGCTTTCCAGAATGTCATACAGGTAATATAGCATTTTCAGATTGATACCTTTCCCTTAGTAATGCATTGGTTTTTAGCATCGAGTAACACTCCATTGACTGGATGTATCACAGCTGATTTATTCATTCATCTGCTGAAGGACATGTGGGTTGCTCCAAGTTTTGGAAGTAATGAATAGAGCTGCTGTAAACATCTATGAGCGGGGCTTTGCGTGGGTATGTTTTCAGCTCTTTTGGGTAAATACCAAGGAGCGTGATTGCTGGATTATATCTATGGTAAGGGTACAGTTGTGTAAGAAACCGCCGAACTGTCTTCCCAAGTCACCGTACCATTTTGCATCTCTGCCAGCAACATCTGGGGGTTCCTGTTGCC